GGGGGGGGGGGGAAGGGCCCATTCAGTAGAGCCTGGAGAACACCAAAAGAAGACATAAGCACGGGGGATGCGGACTGGATCCATGTGGCCCAGCACAGGGACCCGTGGCGGGTGAACACAGTAATATTTCGCTTATCGCTAGAAATTACGGTTCTGCATCTACTGGCCTATGTAAACCATATCGCAATACAAAAGAGCATCACAACAAATTAGACATAGAGTACATAATTGTTGCAACTTATTAGACTACAACACAGAAGTGTCACAACCAGCTACACGCCTAATTCAAAACAATGCCACAACAAATTATACACACGACACAAAAGTCTCACAACTTATTGCGCACAACAAACTAAATATCGCGGCAAGAAGCAGAACCGAACGACTTTCAGATGCCATTACAGGTCTCCCGCCAGCAAATGTGGCTCTGGTGGCGTGGAAGCGGCTGAATAGAAACGGAATGAGACAAAACCAGGTGGATTGACACTACTGGCCTTGTTCTGGAGGTATGGCTCCAGTCCTGCTCAACTTTCAGCACCAGATGGAACTGAGTTGTGAGCGTGACTTAGGTCTCTTTAACCCCAGGTTGGTGATTGGACCTCAGATCAGGTGTGGATGTTGTGTCCCGCCTGAAATCAAACCTGAAACCCCAGTCACCCAGCCCCTAGCCTAGTCACTATACCGGGCTAAGACAGCCAGGCTACGAAATCCTCGGGTAGCCAATTATTTCTGTGTATGGCTTGCAGGTACATACCCATGTACTCTGTCCTGAACCACATGAATCCAGTCCAGGGATCAGAGGCCTTCTCGAAAAGCTAACAGTTGCTCACCTAGAAAAGAAATAAACATGTTATGAAATCCGAAGGTTCGTTACAGTGTTCACAAAAGCCCACCACTATTTCCTATTCTGAGTCCTAGTCCACATGTTCATATCCTTTGCTTCGAAATTTATTTGAATATTATCCGCCACTTAAGATTCCAAGCCATCTATTTCCTTCAGGTTTTCTATTCTGCTCTGTTCCATGCATGCTACCTCCTCGACCATCCCGTCTCCCTTAACGAACGGAACAAGTGAACACCGTAAAGAAGGAAGCGGGTACCGAGTCGATGTCCACGTCACACCGATAGGTGAACCCGGTGCAGGGACGGTCTGGCGGCAGAAGGCGCTGCAGAAGTTGCGGTGGCGCCGCGAGCCCCATAGTCATCAGCAGAAGACAACAGAGTGGTCACAACATCGCAGAGAGTGAAGTCAATTCTTAGAGTCATTCGCTTTTATATTGACATTTCTCGAAACAAATCTTTGCCTCGTGTACTAAATCCCTTGTGACCTGCTTGTTATAGGGACATGTGGAAGGTACATGAGAGCTACACTGTTAAAAACACACGACGTTTCTTCTTTCTTGCTTTCTTGGTTACTTCGTAACCCTGCTCTATATAGCATCAATGGTAGGATAGCTGATTGCTGATTATTGAAATGTATAGCGTAGTTGGTTGAGGGGCTATGCTACAAGCCGGAAGGTCCTGGCTAAAGGCCAGATACTTCAGACACCTAAAACTACACACAGTACATTTCTAGGGCTCTCAGTCAGAACGAACAGTAGAAAATGCTTCCTTTCGAGACGAGGTCTGAGTAGCAGGACTGGATGTTTTATGGTTGGCACAGCGGTTGCTCTGAAGAGTTGCATCTGCTGAGATGTAGCATCGTTTAGTCCGTTGAAAGCTAGTACATATTTCGGAGGAACATGTCACCACCATCTTCGGGGTCGACGCATATGCCACGCATGAAACCAGCATGAAAAAATAGCAAGCACATTTGTTCTTCCGAAACGTTCATTGACTTAAAACAGAATACACGCCGTTACATCCCAGAAAATACATGCAGAACTCTTCAATAGGAATTGAGATGACTCACTTTAGCTCTCCTCCGTAATTGTCTTCTCCTGTATCTTCTTCCACTTCTGCTCCTACATTCGTTTTATTCTCTAAACGATTCAAGCGACAGCTACCTCGTCAGTCCATTGGCGTGCTGACTGTTGCCTAGCAACGATCTGTTGTGTTATTATATACAACTCTTTATTGGAGTCCGCCGTAACACAACATAACGGTCAAGGTTAATATTACCTTAGCTACATGTTTCGGCTTTTGAAGCCATCATCAGGCAAAACACATGATTACTGTATTCACACTATTGAACTGCAATTTCATTGTAATAGTAAAGCTGGATACTTGATAACCGTTACATTATAAAAATACAATGAATTATAAACTTATTAAAACACGAAAACTATGGAATAAAATGTGGTTAAAAACTCTTCATGTGAATTTGATTTGTTTCATTCTGGTCCGTCACACTAACAATTACGTACAAACCAATGTGACATATAAGTTTTTACTACGTTAAAACTTATCTCCCTTACATGTTTCAGTCCTTACGTGCCATCTTCAGAGGGAACATCATTACAAACTGGAAAATACCATCACAATAGGTGTTTTGATTTAAAATACATACACTTATATCCTATAATGCACAGTGCGTATAAAGTCGAACGTTTCACAATCACAGGAGCTTCCTGGTGTTGTAAAGTTTTAAAAGTTTCTAGATGTTATTTAAAAAACCTTCATTGTCAATGGTTAACATTTTTTTAAACCACGTAGGTTCGTGTCCGTACTCCTATCGTCGTCCTTGTGTGGGGCAGATTTTCTGCCGCCTGTCTATCTTGGTGAGGAGGTTCTTGATGTCGTCCAGGGTTTGTTCGTGGCTTGCTGCGTTGCTTAACTATTGACAATGAAGGTTTTTTAAATAACATCTAGAAACTTTTAAAAACTTTACAGCACCAGGAAGCTGCTGTGATTGTGAAACGTTCGACTTTATGCGTACTGTGCATTATAGGATATAAGTGTATGTATTTTAAATCAGAACACCTATTGTGATGGTAGTTTCCAGTTTGTAATGATGTTCCCTCTGAAGACGGCCCGTAAGGACCGAAACATGTAAGGAAGATAAGTTTTAACGTAGTAAAAACTTATATGTCACACTGGACGGAGTGGTTTGTATTTATATCTTCATGTGATATTGCACATCATGAAGTCAGTAGTTGCCATCTTGTTGTTATATTCCCGCGGACATAATGGTATATTCAAGACTTGTGTATATATACACCTGGTCGTCGACTTAAGACCTATGTGACTTACGACCGGCCGCACTTACGACCACAAAAAAATGAAAAATAAATGATGATTAAAATGTAAAAGTTTTTAAAAATAAATTATTTAGATGATAAAAAGAGTACAAAGATTAAAAAATACTATTAATAAATATATGGCCAACATACGACCAGATCGACTTACGACCTGTCAGTCAGAACGGAAGTCGGTCATAAGTCGAGGACCAAGTCTGTAGTAAAGTGCTTGGAGGCCCGTGGTAGAGATGTAGTATTATTTGACATTCATTGTTTGGCCCGTGTCTCATCTTACAATGTATTTTGTCTGCTCTGTTGGGAATACAGAGTTGCAATAAAAAAGCACAAAAGCTGAGACACGTAGCTAAGGTAATATTAACCTTGACCGTTATGTTGTTGTGTTGCGACGGACTCCAATAAAGGAGTGAATTGTTGTCTGCGTTTAAGCGAGGTGTTTATCTGGCCGTTGCGTAGCTTTACACTTTGTAATATAAATTACAGTTCTTCTGATTTAACAAATGGGGCACATTGGGACTCAAATAAGAGTGCCACAATAGGCTGGGTAGACACAACATGCCGCAGTTCAGTTTTATAAACGTGCAACAAATCATTTGTTGTTCCGATTGAATGATGTATCGGTACATCTCCGCCCTGTAAGAAGTAGCATCCTGACGTCACAGTAAATTGATCTCAATTCGTGTGTAATTAGTTCAACTGCACAATCCTCCCTCGGCACCAGCAGCTGGGAGCAGACAGCCCGTACAGCGCGACCTCACTACTGAGGCTGGGAATCAGTTTCGTGAGCGAATATTGCTCCATGAAGTGGCCGAGACAGACGCACCTCGAGAAGACTGGTTTCGACATTCTTTGAAGGCTCCTCCAGTTGTATACAGATGGAGGCAGTACTGAATTAAATGTGTGTTCATGTTATCTCAAACAAAATCATTCACCAGTTGTCTTCTTGCAGGCACCAAAACTTAATAAATTATATACCTGAAGAAGACGCATTTTGAACTTACCTGTTGCTAAGACTGGCCTAAGAAGGAAAAGGAAAAGTTATCCAAAATTTTAATTCCGTAGTTAATTATTGTGTTATTCTTCTATCGATAAAACCGTTTCTGCAAGTGATAAGTGCAACTGAGGCAGGCTTACAAGTTAGGATTTAAGTTAAAAAGAAAAGTTCTTATACAATCGATTGAATTCCTTCACAAGAATTCGACTCAGAATTATTTATTCTAAGCAGAACGCTTTGATGTGTTTCTCTTCTTTGAGGTTGTGAGTGACAAAATACACGAGATTACAGTTCAGAGAAAGTTCCAGTTTTTTATAGTGCGCTAGTTATTTGTGGGGTGATTCAAGTGATTTGCCTGTTGTATATTCCTTCATTTAACTTGACTGAAGAAAGAGACGCCGACGAACGTCCTCAGAGCCACTGAAGTGCCCATTCAATCTCCACCACCAGCGACAGATTAATTACCCGTGCAGATGTGTCACCTTGGCTCTGCAAGTAAGACGTTTGCGTAAGTGGCAACTGTGAGGGCGCTTTTGGACTTTTGAATCCCGCAAGGGCAATATGGCGTTGTGGAATGGGCAGGTAGCTTTCTCGGTGATGCTGCTGATTGGATTACAGGCAACGGCCTTCAGCGGGGGTAGCATCACGGACTGTTCCCGACTCGATTCCCAGCGGAGCCTTAACATGGACCAGGTAAGCGCCGCTTCCTCCGATTGGATAATTTCAAGAATATTAAACATTTTCGGAACTCAGATTCTCACAGCGGTAGCTGTGAGTAGTATTAAATTCTGGAATGTGACGCTTTGCAGTCCGGTACAAGCCGACCGACGTTTCGGAAGCACCTACTGCTTATATTTTCAGGGTCGAAGACAAAAACGAACAAGAAGACAAATTATTATTCTACTCCGAAGATCGAGGCAATAGGTTCTTCCGAAACGTCAGTGGACTTTAGCGGACTGCGCTGCACTGCATCCAAGGAGAGAGTAGCCTTCATTATTAAATAAGTCTGTACCAGCTACAGAAGCCATAAAGCATTGTTGTCAAGAATCGGGTCTTGAACTCGGTCTCATGTCCTGGAAAGTCAGAACTTGTCGCAGTACTTTGATGTGTGTTTGCATTTGGAGTTTCATGTCCTCCATTTTTGCTGTCAAAAAACTGATTATCCTTAGGCCTAGGATCTTGGCGATTTTACGTCAGATGACCATTCTCCTGTTATTCGCCTCCTGCCACTCGCAAATCGTTCTGTACACGTCAGATTACAGATTCTCGCGTGTTACGGAGTGTCACGTTTCCAATTAACCATTGAGCAGTCTGGCTGCTGACAGTGCTGTACATAACCAACACAATATTGCTCAGTGCGTCACGTGAGCAGCAGATACGGAACGTAACAGGAAGACGCCGATTAGGAGTAAGCCGAGGGGCAGGTCCCCATGTTCCAAGATTAAGTATACGCATGCGCATCACGGAATGAAGACGCTTCAGGCAGCTGAGATACAGCTGAACTCACTCTTAACCTCGCGCCACTAGCCGGAGCTGGGCGGTCAGCTTCACGCTCCGGCTGCTTTGCCCCAGGAAGGGGCTATGTGGACTCCAGAACTCGGTGTGGCCGCTGTGGATAGAGAAGAGTCAGAGAACAGAAAACCACTTCCAAAGCGTGTTCCTGTTGCGTCACGTCCGCATCTGCCGCTCACGTGACGCATGCAAAGACTGCGTCACTGTATGGCGCCGTCAGTGGCTAGACTGTATAGCGTCCAATGTCATAATGACTGATGAGTGATTAACTGGAATGGATTTCGAAGGAGGCGGCCGTGACCTACTCGAGGTACTATCCCGGTATTTGCCTCGTGTGACAGGGGAAAACCAACAAAAGTCTGTCACGATAGACAGTGAGATTCGAAACGAGCACTTCCAGAATATGAATCTAGACAGTTACCGCTACGCCAACCCGCCCGATCATACGGATTTCGAGATTGTGGCGCCAAAGGGGGAGGGGACGTACCAGAATTGTTACCCCACAGGCACATTTCTAAGTCTAAGGAAGATCTGCACCCCTGAGACAAGGTAATTACCATGCATGGCAGTACTGTACTACAGAGTGCCTGAAGTCCAGGCGGGGTGGGGGGTTTCCCCATGATTAGAGACCCTTGAAGTTGCGCCAACCGTCGGACATGCAGACGTATAACCCTGCTTCGACCTGCCTCTTAACGGATCATGAATTTTCGGACTTACGATCCCATTAAGTTAACACGCATCAGAATTACGCTCCGATTTTTCGGACTTACGACTCAAACTCGAATTCAGTTGTTTACAGTCTGCAAATGCTCTGGTGTCTCAAATCGCAACCCTTGACGATCAGCGGTAAAATATGAATTCATTTTCTTATTTTTAAGCGGTCGAGGTGTGAAGCTGCCCACTCACCCAGATATAGTTCTGAGGGCAATAATGGTGGAGCTATACCTCCACTCCCCACGTGTCTTCATGACATAGTGCTTAATTAATTAAGCATAGAGACAACTTTACCTTTCATAAATGTTTTTAATATAGTGTTACGAGGGAGAGTCAGTAAATAGGTCACAAATGGAAGTAAAACACGTGTAATGGATGCAACAGGTTTCTACGCGTATCACTAGGTAGCAGCACAGCCCAGCGTCATGACAGTCTTGGTAGCAGACGCACATGCGCATGTTGAGAGGCTGGTTTCAGCAGTCAAAATGGCGACCGTGCTTGAAAAGTATACTACCGAAGAGCAGCGTTCTCTTGTGCGTTTTATGTGTGCAAAAGGACTCGATGCGAAAGATATTCATAAATAAATGTTTTCTGTTTACGGTGAGAAGTGTTTGTCGCGTAAAGCGGTTCACATTTGGGTGGTAAACATTTCGCTGATGACGAAGAGGTTGAAGCGGATGTGCGGATGTGGCTGAGACAAAAATAGAAAAAAAGCTTCTATGTTGCGGATTTCGACGCACTGGTAAAGCGATGGAACTTATTTACTTACTTACTCATGGAGCTGAGCCCTTCTTGAGGAGCCGCCAATTCTGCAGCTACTCAAGAATTTCCCAGCATTTTATGGAACCCGAAGGTTCATTACCGTGTTCACAAGAGCCCTCCACTGGTCCATATCCTGAGCCAGATCAATCCAATCCATACCATCCCATCCTATCTCTCAAAGATCCATTCTTATATTGTCCACCCACCTACGCCTTGGTCGTCCCTGTGGTCTCTTTCCTTCCGAAAGCGATGGAACATGTGTATCAATGTTAGTGAGCATATGTCGATAAATAAATGTTATTTTCCAGGTTCGAATATCACATGTTTTACATTTTATGTCTTTTTGTGATCATTTACTGATTTCTCTTCGTATTTTATGTCCCTTTATTGGTTCAAAAACAGGAACAACGGAATTAGAGCGTAAACGAGGTTCAGACGTTGAACAAGATAACTGAGCCTTGAGCTCCAGGAACGTAACCCTATACTTCCCATATTATAAAGAACTCGACTTAAGACGTTTACGCGAACACATGGAGTCGGAGTCCGAGGTGTGACACTGCTCAGATGTGCAGACGATTTCCTTGAAACCGCGGGACTGGTTGCGCGCGACGCTGACTGTGACCGTGAGACGTGCAACGCGGCCCAAAGGTGGCCGGGCCAGGTAGCAGGATCTGCGGTGTTCGGCTGCCCACAAGCGCTCATCAGTGTTCGGGGCGGCAGCACAAACAGCGAGCGATGGGCGTCGCCCCTTCATCAAACATCAGGACTTCATTGATCTGGTCATGGGGCGTCGAGCTGCATAGCATCTCCATTTCCTTTTTCCTCTTTGTCTGTGTGGTAAATTGCTGCTGGTCCTCGTCAGCGAAGTAATTCTTGGTTTCGGGCCCCAAGACCCATATTTTTCTGCCTTAAGACTTTCAATTGGCTCCATTTCCTCTTCTGTTCCCCAAGTGTGACATTTATGATTGTCACTACGCAAGTTCGGTTGCTATAGCAACGAACTGTGCAGCGTTCTCACGCTCAGCGAACGTAAGTTATGCAGTAGGAACGTGGGAGCGGATTTGTGCTTCAGCGTATAGTGTCTATTCTTGGTATTTCTGTCTATCATTGGTAATATATTTAGGTGGTTGCGTGAAGTGTAGTATACCGCATAAAGGAGACGGTTCAAGATTGACTATTTGTGAGTGATATTCGTGGGAGACGCCGCTAAACACTGGCCTCGATGACTCATTCAGTGACATACAGAACTAGAGAGGAACATGGGAGATAGGAAGGAAACTTAGTACGAAGCACTATCCCAGCATTTTCCAGAAGGGACAAACATGTCAACATACTCGGGCTCCGAACTCGGGGCTTCCCAGATAGGAAGCAGGAGCGCTAACCATTTGACTGGTACGTCATGTGATTTACGGTACCATAATATCCATCTGTGCCGGTCAGTGAATGTGTCCCGCACGCCCGCTGTTATAATTTTGCACGAATTTCTGTGTAACTTGATTAAGTCCCTGGAGCCTCAAGAGAAAGAGAGAGAGAGGAGGTAAAGTGGTCGGGGGAAGGGGGTTGTTAAGGGATGCTAGATTTTTAGGGAGGGAGGGCAGAAATGTTTCCTGTTTTGAATGTTCCCAAGCGGTACAGGCTAGTCACGTTTCAGAAAGGGTAATGCTTTGGGAAATGAAGAGGGTAAAGTGTTAGGAAGCGGAATTTGTTATGGAGCCTCAGGTTCATCCAAGTAACTTTCAAAATACAGTTCCCACTGCACAGATAAGAGAGTGCGTCTACATTACTAAGATCAACTGGTTAATGCTGCTTATTTTGAGTATTCGGGGGCTGACAGGGGAGGGGAAGCCCCAGCCAGACATCTGCTACCACTCAAGGGTTTAAGGAAAACCAAATTGAAAGAAGGAGGAAGTATGCAAAATATTAGGCGTATATTAAAATTGATTTTCTACCCTTTATATTCCACAGCGAAGAGTAAATGTATTTTGAAACGGCATCGACGTAAGTTTATAAGAACATTTTCTAGCTGCCCCCCTCCCCACTTGAAATGTCCTGGCGACTGCCTTGCGTGAGAATCATATGGAAGAAACTGAACTATACTCTATTGGCGGGGGAATGCGGTAGCTTAGTTTGTTGAGGCACTATGCTACAAGCCGGGAAGTCGCGGGTTCGAGTACCGATGTTGTGGATTTTTTCAATTTACCCATTCCTTCCAGCCGCACTATGGCCCTGGGACCGACTTAGCCTCTAACAGAAATGAGTACCAGGAATCTTCCGGGGGGTAAAGGGCAGCCGGCGCGTAGGGCTGACACCTCACCGCCACCGCCGATCGTCTAGAAAAAATGTGGGAGCCTCAACGTCTCACAACCCTATGGGCCTTCACGGCCTGTTACTGGGCTAGCTACACCTTTTTATACTCTGTGGCCGCAAACCAAAGGTTATTTATGCTGGCGCAGATGGGGTATATAGTAACTACTACAAGTTAAAGGGTTAACTTCTTTACATAGAGAGATAATTTGCAATATAGGTCTACTCGGATTGTCAAAGGAAGTGATGTCAGTGTCACAACACAAAACAGATAAAACTCTGAAGAAGGATACCACCCAAACTGTGAAACTAAAGTTTGCTCATATTTCAAAGTTAAGAAACGACTACATTGCTCGCACATGGCTTTAACAGCAGTGGCTACCGTACATATTGGCAAGAAGACACAGTACACTCTATTACGTCTGCAGTAAGAACTTATTCTTAGCTACTGCCTGACGTGAATGAGCAAATCCCTCCCTTGAACAGCCAGATCAGTGGACACGGTCGAGGCACCGGAAACTTGCATGCACGCGCCAGGGCGTCTGAGCTCCTCTCTGTTCCTGCAGGAAACCTTCCGTTTTGTGCCGAAAGGCGAATGAAAACGTCGGGTAGTTTGCAGGTTGAGTTCCTCCCCGTCTTCTGTCTGTCTCATCAAGGCTAGTCGCATTTCACGCGAAGCGGTGAGATCACGTACCAACAAAAGCGTTGGGAATGTTACATGAGGGTTTTGTTTGACTGACTGAACAATCACATCCGTCCTTCAGCGGGTTCAGCGCCGCGCCTTCCTTTCAAACAGCGCGCAACCTGCAGGCCATGTGCAGCTGTGCGCTCTGCAAGTTCCAGTGCTGAGTGCTCAGGATACTGGACCAACACGGAATAGCTCAGTCTGTACTAGCTGGACGACAGACGTATCGGGGTTCAGTTCCCGCCAGAAGCAGAACAATTTTTGGGGCTCATCCAGTCTTCCTTGGGACTCTTTCCCCGGGGTGCAAAGTGGTCGAAGCCTGAAGCTGTCGCTCACCTATATCCACTTCCAAGGCTTCCATGTGCTAATACACGAAGCGTTACCTCCACTCCTACATATAATTTAATGACGTAGTGCCTAATTATCTAAACATTCTTAAGACTCGAGGAAAAAGTGTGCGGGGTATGAAACACATGTTTCATTTTTGACGAATGCCGTGTTCTGGGATGTGGGGCCGTGTAGATATTGTGTTAATGGACCTTTCGGAGGAACATAGTTCTGGAATGGAGACACTGTTCAGTTCAGAACTCGAGCTTCTACCTAGTTCTAAAACGGAACAGTGCCCATACCTGGTCTGGGACCCACACAGCCTCTTATCCAATACGTATCGAAGGTTCTTTCCTCGGAGATAAAGTGGCCGGGGCGTGAAGCTGAGCACTCAACTCCATCAGGTGCCGACGTTAAGAATGCGGGCAGCTACATCTCCACTCCCCTATACGTCTTCATGGCTTGGTGATTAATAAATTAAGAAAAGAAACAATTTTACTTCCTTAAGCTGGAATGTCGCGGGTTCGATTCCCGATGAGATCATTGGATTTTTTAATTAACCTAATCCGTTCAGCCGCACTATGGCCTGGGGTCCACCCAGCGTCTAACAAATGAACACCAGAAATCTTCCAGGAGGTAAAGGGCGGCCGGCGTGTAAGGCTGACAACCTCACCGCCATCTGTGAGCTGACTGTCTAGAAAATATGGGGGCCTCGACGTCTCAGAACCCAAGAGGGATAGCTTTATTTCCCCCCTCCTGCCCCGTACCGGGGGACCAGTTGAATTGAAATCATGATGCTGTGGCTTGTGTAGCTGATGGGAAGGTGGTTCGCCGTGGAGGTTGTGGAGCACAACAGATCTGTGGAGCACAACACGATCAGCACCGTGATCAACCTGTGCCCCACCCTGCAGCTCACGCGTGAGGGCAACAGCACGATCCGCTTGCACTGGAACGAGAGCGCGGGCGAGCTCGTCTACAAGTTCCGGCAGCCGAAAGCGGGCCACCCCGGCTTCTGGGTGTCTGTGGGAAGTCAGAAAGGTAAGGCTATCTGTATAGCGACTGGCTACGGGCAGGACGGCCTAGTGATCGGTGTTAAAGTCCCGGTAGAGGCAAGATTTCTTTTCTCTCTACGTCGTCCAACGGTTCTGGGGCCCAGCCAGCGTCCTACACAATGGACACCGGGAGTTCTTTCCCTGGAGTAAAGCGGCCGGTGTGTGAAGCTGACCACTCACCTCCAACTAGAGTTGAGGTTAAGAATATATAAAAAGTGCCCCAGGAGGAAAGGTCAATAACCTCGTCAACAGAAGGTCACGTAGATTGTTATGTGACCACTAGAAAGTTACCAGACCTTACCTTCAACAAACAATGGGAAACAAAACCACCATTTCGGAGATCTCGTTGAAAACATGGGTTGTGTAGTTGTCGGTTGTGGTTGAGACACTATGCTACAAGCCGGAATGTCGCGGGTTCGATTCCCGATGAGGTTATTGGATTTTTCAATTGACTTAATCCTTCCAGCGGCACTATGGCCCTGGGGTAGACTCAGCCTCTAACAGAAATGAGTACCAGGAATCTCCCTGGGAGTAAAAGGCGGCCGGCGCGTAAGGCTGAGAACCTCACCGGCATCTGTGAGCCGATTGTCTAGAAACTCTGGGAGCCTAGACGTCTCACAACCGTCTGGGCCTCCACAGCCTGTCACAAGGACAGCTCAAGGAGGCATGACGTAGAATGCATGAACTTCTCTGTGGCTTCAGGCAGTCTGGCGGAGCGCCACGATGTGAGCTTCTCGGGAACGGTGCTGGTGATGAAGGCGGTGAGCTCTCACACCGTGCTCACCTTCTGCCCGCGGTCGCAGCACAAGGTGTACACGGTTCTCATGTCCCGCAAGAGGCGCCTGCCCTACGACGAGATGCGCGGCGTCAACAACATGCTGAAGAGACGTGGGCTGGACGGCCTGGTCAAGGAGATGTGCAAGGGCGCCGCGGCTTCCAACAGGGGACGCCTCGCAGCCGTCGCGCTGCTCCTTGTCCTTCAGTTCGTGAGCGGTTGGCACTAGCGAGCGGGACGCAGTCACTTCCAACACCCCACACGGGGCACTAGTCTCTATACCATTAGATTCCAGGTCTTCACGGCGGCTATCTCGGCCGGAACAGGATTTCCGTGGGTTTCCTCACTCACTTGGGCAGATCGCTTCCTTTCAGATTCCTCCCACTTCATTATTCAGTACCATCCAGTCATTCAACACTATAAGCCTAAAGTCTGAGTTTGAGATAGCGTCATTAAACAAAGTACAAACACATCCGTAGTGATGTAAATGCGCATGACACCGCGCAATCTGGTAGCTGCCTACAGGCGCTGCGGAGAACTTACCGTCTCCTAGTCTCAGTCTTGGTGTACCTAAGAGCATTTCCAACAGCTCTCACTGTGGGATGGTGAGCGCGTGAGAATGTTGAAACGATACGGAGGGAAGCGACTGTGATTCAAGTTGAGGTACAATCTGAACATTTGCTTCAGGAACGGAGGAAAACCACGAAAACTTCAGTTAGATTAGCAGCTCTCCGAGCCTCAACTCGATGCCCGTGACCTCCCGGTTATGAAGTAGGAGTGCCAACTGTTTGACTCCGACGTTCACTCTGCTGCTTCCATCTTCAGGTATAAAAGACGGGGCAGCAAGTTACTCCGAAACGTTGGTACCTCTGTAGTAATAACAAGGTTTGACAAACCGGAAGACAGTAATACTCACTGCCGTGAGAACGTCATATCTCACACATATGTATATTTAAAAATATATTTTCAAAGAGGAGGTCCGGAAGGGTTGAAATTACTGATTAAAAGTCGACGTACCATGATCACAAGTCAATACAGGACGATGCAATGTTTTCAGCAATAGCTGTATACAGATTAACGTAAGTTACTGAAAATATCTTAGAACCCTGAGTTTCATTTTAGATTCATTTTGTGATTCTGATGTATCTACGCCATATAACGTCGAAGTGATGGATGATTCATGAACTTGGAAGGATCTGGAAGGAAGTGGTCGTGACTCTCCCGGAAGGGTCTAAGGAGAACCACGAAAAATCTCAGTTAAATAGCAGGTTCCCTGCCGAAAATCGAACCGAGTACCTCCCAAATATTAGTGCGCTGCTGCACCTCCGCCAATCTGCTCACTGCAAACTGTCATTAAGGTTACAGCCTTGTGAGATGTGATGCCATGTCGGTTGGTAGGTTCGTATACTGATGTTCTGAAGAATACTGCGGCTTCCATCTTCACCCTGAAGAGGGAGGCCGCGCTCAAACTACACGGTATCACATAACAGAAGACATAGTACTCATAGCCACAACCGTGAGGAGCTCAGATTTCGTCCTGTAAACTGCGCAGGCCTACCTCACGCTTCTTGTAAGACCAGAGGCACGGGGGGTGGGGGGCTCACAGAATT